ATTTTCTTTGGTCGGTAGCAAATACCTTCCAACTATAAAGTTTAAACTTTATTCAAACACGTACTATTTCCATTCAACGAGGTTTACGTTGTCTAGTGCCCACTTTGTTGAAGTCAACCAGATACGGGTTATCTGTGAAAGTTGTGGTCGGCTTTCAGTTGGCGCACGTACAATAACCTATAAAAGGTTTAATTGATTCTTGCGGTACTTCTCTTGGGTTCTGTCACATTTTTAGCTGATAGTCCAGTAGCCTGAAGGAAGGTTTACAGCGTTTTATGAAATTTTTAGAATACAGGATGTTTGATATTAGTTAATGTCGGAAAACCTAGCTGCTATTTATGATTATCATTGTACTTTACAAGTAACTGATCTCACTGACACCAGGTTATACACAGATGTTAATGTCAAAGAATTCGATTTTATTAGAAATTAACCTTGTACACTATCCACAGTAGTGATGATTGTTAGAAATTACGTCCAACGTGTATTAACTTATCCCGCATCATATCGATCTTTGATGGCGTTCAGAATAACAATTTAGAGAAGTGGCAGATAAATAGTTTCTTTGCGTATGTGTCCCTAGGTTATGAGGTCCTCAATAATAAGACGACTTATGTATTTCTCAAATGCTGATTGGCTGTATCATTTTCCAGGGTTATAGCTTCAGAAGATACCACTACCTATCTGAAGTGGTTGCTTGTACTATGGGTGAACGAACTATTCGACGGATATTCACCTCATAGGAATCCACTTCGATATTTATTGCCTAGCAATTTGTTTAAATCTGTAGAAAATTATAATATCTCACGACATGTGTCATGGTGAGATTCCTAAAGGTTTTCCACAGAGGTTTTTCTCTTTTCGATTTACACTAACGTACCACTTAAACGCGTTCCTACCATAATCCTTCCTTTTACTGAGGTTGTGAAACTTTAGAGCAAAATTGAAAATCTGCGTAGACGATTTTATTTGACTTCATTGTTATGTATATCCCAATAAGAATAATTTCAAGTAAGAGCATACACATGATTTTATCTACGGTAATGTTTGCATTAGGCGCGCAAGGCCTCTATACAAGGTCTTCGACCACTAATGATTGGGCAGATTTTACATTTCTTAATTTTAAACGACGCTAAAGCCTACAGGAACCTCATGTGCGATTACTGCTTGTTACACTGTTTCGAAATCCTGGACATTTTTACTGCCAACGTTTAACTTAAGCCTCTAACAGATTTAAACCGTTTTATTTCGAATTTGGAATCATAATCGCCTATTTTTTACTTCAGGTTAAGTATGATTTAAAATATATTCAGTGACATTCTTAGAAACTACTTCTAAAGTAAAATGTTATGACCTTCAAATGAACACGTGACATTATCCGAGTTGCATTACGTAAGCTATAGAGGAGCGGAAAATGGACTTATACTAACTGAAAACACCCTCAATGTTCCTAGCTGTTTTCTATACTTTTTATTTTATTTTATGTGTAAAATCAACTTTGGAGGACACATTTGAAAGGTAGAATTTGACCCTAATATCTGGAAAAATATATGGAATGCAGTTTTTGACGAACTATTATTCTGTTTACGAATTTCCTTACTTACGTACAGAGGGAAACCGGAAGCAGTAATTTTTCCCAAAAATAATTTTAAATGACGGTCCAAAAGATGTGAAAGAAGACGACAATTCTTAGGTTGAGGCATCCTCGCAATACTGTAATGCTTTCATTTTCTTTTACAGTTTACACGCTTAGGTTTGCGAATCAGGGAGGTAGTAGTCATGCTACTTTCGAACAAAGTGGATCATCAATTCATTTTGTCTTCCACAGTGTTCTCAACCTTTAGCATATCTTGAGGATTCGGAGGTCAGTTTGATGCACAGTCATCAACCACTTACAGTGACTTGATAGTCACGCTCAAGTGATTATCCAGTAAATATTTATTTTGTGAATGAATAAACGCGTTACGTTTGTTTGTCTGATGAAGATAAGGTACATCTAACCGATGAATATTTTGTGAATCTTTCACTGAACATTTTTCTGTTTACCACGGTGATCAATGCTGTGGACAAAACATATGCGTGATATTAATTTGTGCTAATTACATACATTTCCTGGCAGTCAGTAAATTCTACATGATAATTATTGTTCAGATTGTAAACTGTTATTATACAGACTGAAGTAATTGCGAAAACCAAATACTAGTGAATAATCGCATTTTGAAACAACAAATTTCGCTGACTTGCGAATTCTTACTGTGAAGAAGCTTTCAGGGAGCTAGGATAATTTCAGGAGAGTCAAATGCAACCCTTGCGATTTGATCAAGCTTTAAGATTCATTCTTTCTGGATCAATTACCATGGGAATTATTACTGTCAAGTAATATCTTTCATAAAGCAGGAACAATAATTATAGAGTTTTGTAATTATTTATTCCTGGAAGTTCTAAATTTTAGCAGAATAAGTTCTAAACTCTTCAGGAAAATTTTTTACTGTCGAAACAATATGACACACTTCAGTGAAAGAAGGTGAAGTTGATACTAATCGGTGTATTAAGTTGAGCCCAAAGTTGTTTCCACTTTACTATAAGTTATCAAAACATACCTTTAGAAATACTCATTGATAAAGTCCTCGGATAAATATTTGATCTTCTGCGTCGTTCAGTGTTTTTAAGGTTTAATGAATACCCATTTACTGATCGGTAGCATTAAAAAGCAAAATATTATGCATCTACGCCTTACAGTCATTCATCCAGCCAAAATACAACTTACTACAACTAGTCAACCCTTAGTTTCTATTTCTAGACTGCTTCGTCTTCTCGCTGTGGATAACAACCACTTGTCGATTATCTTTTATTATCAAATCTAAGTACATTATTTGCGTTTGTTGAGTAGTCAGCTCATAGTTTTCTCTCCCTCTTTCCTATTCCAGATTCTCATGGTCACCACAAACCCCTACTCTTCTACGTGCCATCGTTAAACAGCGTACCAACAGGCTAGATGAAAACCTATTAACAGATGGTCATTACAAACCCATTTCCTTCAAAGTGGTTGGTGGAATTAGGAAGAAAAATAGATTTTCAACACGTAAAATTCTCTTTCAATATTCTATATTCCATATCTGGTTGGCTTTATTCTAAATAAAGTCGAAAATCAGTTTTTTATTTGTGTTTTGGCAATTAAAGAGTTTATTATAGAATTAGTAGTTAGTTCGGAATCTTCGGAAGGGTCTTCGAAGATGAAAAAAAATAATTGGGACAGATAAGACAACCAGTTGTGCTCAAATTTATTTCAATTTCCTAGTTACGAAAATCATTCTCCCTATTCAGCGATACGGATGGAGGTTCAGACTAATTGTTCCAGTACGTTGAACGGAAATCAAGTTTTTTGTGAATATGTTCCCTAAACGAGGTGCTCCTTGATTTTTCGGTTGAAATTTTCATTCATCACATTTCAGAACCTGACCCGCAAAAAAGGTTATTTAGGGGGAATCTGTGAAATTTCTTACAGCAAACTCTTACGTGATTGTTAGTCCCGGAAGAAGTAAAATATCAAAGGCTAATTTAAGATCACATAAAAGGAATAAGTTGAATTTTTGTTAATTTATCTTCATGAGAAGATCCCACTCTGTAAAAGCATTATAGCTTGTCATATTAAAGGAACAAATCTCTTGTTTGAACGCAGTATGCAAATGAAGTGAATTAGCCGAAAAATCTTTTCTGTGAGCATTTAATTTTCCTTGTTGCTCTATGTAGGAGAAGTAAACAAGTCCCGTTACCAACTTGTTTATTATCCATCAAATACGTTCTAGTTTAGTAAATTGGTTTTCACTTACACTCAGACCAAAGTACTTTACATGAGTTTATAAGAAGTAAGTGCACTGTATCTTAAAAATATCCTTACACAAGGGTCTGAAGGAACACCAAAGTGATCTTGCCTTTCGATATGCTTTAGCTGCAGCTGGGTTCCAGTGAACTGTTGTTTGTAAGATGTTTTTTATGATCAACCCTAAACCTTTTCGGTTCCAGAACGTCATCAGAGGTTATCTATTCAATAGATAGTGTTAAGACTCCCAATAAGGAAGATGTATTCTTGCACTGTCACTAGAATCGAACTTCAGAATTCCTGGTTTAGACTATCCTAGCAATGAGTGAAGATCAACTCAAAACACAAACCTGAATACGCCGTTTGGAACAATTCTTTAAGCCTCAATTATGTCGTCAAATGCTAGTAATGAGGATCTGAAAATGTTTTATCAACCATATATGCAGAGAAGGAATGCGACAGGAAGTACAGCAATACTCTGAGGGACTTCACTAATTATTGGTTCCTATTCAGAGGATATTCCATTCACATTTATTCTGACGTTTGTAGTTCCCTATTCACACCTTGATATTGTGATCAATGTCAAATGTAATAGGTTTTAGTTGTAGGCCAATATCAAAATCCCTCTTCGAAGGCTTGACTGGAGTTAATAAAATCACCACTATCACTGATTTCATCAAGAGACTCAGTATGCACTGAGGACTACCAACAACAGAATCGTCATGGGTATGGAAAACGGTAACCAAACATTGTCAGTCGGTAATATACGACGTTATCATAGCCTAGAATACTTAAATGAAGCATACAACTAAACGAAGCCATAGTACAACAGGGACAATCCAATTCCCGAACAACTATCTCCAAACGTACTATTCGGGACTTTGGTCAGAATGCCTATCAATGAACTAGTGTCGGAATAAGTGAGGCTAAGAAGCAGAAAGATTCTAAAAGCAAGAAAGTGATGCGTTTAAATCTCTGGACTACTGAGCCAGTGCAGCTCAATCCATATATTTTTATAGGTATGATTAATCTTGAAAAGGAATATTTGAGAAATATCATTATTTCCTAAAACTTGTGCCTAGAAATATCAAAAAGTCAGTTGTTCTCAGTTAATTCATTTAAAACGTTTTAGTCCCGCCTGAATTTTCTAATCAGGATTCAAAAACTCCGATCCAGTGGTCAATCTTGAAGGCGAGCTTGCTGAAATACACAAGTAAACATATGCTTTTGTCCTATTTATCATTATTCATGGTGAGAAACAAATATTTTCAGTTGTTTTTGATTTGACATCCTTCTCATTTACCATTGGTTGGGTTAGAGAATCAAAGGGAGAGCAGAGATGCAGTTTACAGTAGCTGTGTCCAACAGTTCAATTTCAAGTTGTATGACCTTAGAGTAATTTTAGATTATAACATTTGAATGTGTACATTCCCTCCTGAGTCCATTGTCCCATATACCAATTTGAAAACGCGTAAACTAGCATTATTATACTTCTCCAAATATTTTATAAGTCAAATGAAGTCATTTCAAATTATTCAAAGTTATTTCAAGGGGAAAAATGACACAAGTTTTCCTGAAATTGCTGTCACTTCACTATTTTACATACATATGTCAACTGAGAGGTATTTCACCTTTTGACCAATCAAAGTAAGACTCCAATTTACTTTTTCTTCTTACGTCACATGACCAACAATGAAATCCACCACCAATAGAATTTGCGTGTCTAAGTTTCACTGGGATTGGTGTAACCCCAATGCTTTTATACAATTCCTGCATTCCAGTTTCTTCAGATTCGACGATTACTCGATTAGGATCCAACATTAAGACGTTCATAGATAACCAGTTTGAACCAAGCCACATGTCATGATCTGTTGATTAAAAACATAAAATGAATTGGTATGAAAACTGTTACAGTTAAAAGTCAACATAGAAGCCTATGGTCGCAATTTTTGCGTTTTACTTTTAAATCTAGACTCTAGCATCAAGTATGTAATACCAGTGTTCTAATGTTTAATTTTATCAAGTAGTTTGACCTGAATTTGAGGAGCCGTAACCATATGACTGTTGAGGCTGATTTTAGTTCCATTGAGCTACTCTTTAAGTACACACAAGAAAAAGTACGAAATTCTAGGGTCAACTAAAAGGTTTTAGGTTTATTATAAGGTTATTCAAAAGTGCGACACAACGAATCGAAGCAGAATTGCAAAACCTCAACAGCATTCATCAAGTTGATCTCTGAAGGATTGTATTCTATTCTGATCAACGGTACTTTCAATTTGCTTTGATTCTCGAAAGGTAGCGAGTAACTAAACTGCATTAGAAACGGCTTAAACAGGGTTTCAGCCCACAGTGATTTACAATTGATATTCGATTTATGTCAATCATTCATCTGAACAAAAATTAGTGGTCATTTGTAAAATAAGAATTTCAAATAGACAGTCACTACCTCCAAAGCTATAAGCAAGTAAACTGCAAACATTTCTTCGACCACCGAAAGATGATAACCCAACTAAAAGAACGGAGGCTGAAGACCTAGAAGCAGGAGCTCAAAAACTACAAGTTTTCTCTACTCGCACTATTGATTTTTGGTGTTGAAGTTGAAGTTGAATGAAAACATTGTTATTTCTGTGATAATCCTGCAGTACTAATTCTCAATAGAAGTTGCTTGGAACTTCTACGATTTTACTATAGAGTTACTTTGATACTACATGCTTACCCTTTCTACTATTGATTTCTTCTTTGTTGTATGGTTTACACTATTATACTAGCATTACACTATTACTAATATTTCGACATAAAGAAAGGCATATTCTATGCTACGTTCTGTACTATCTCATAAGTTGACCTACCTACCCGACTTTGTTGGAAGTGACAGTAAAGTTCAGCACACTGCAAATAACGAAGCGAAAAATCATAGCTTACCTTTTCTCATCATCGGTTCCGGTGCATTTATTATTTTCCAACCAGCTTTTTCTATAATGTCAGCTTGATGACAAGGACGGTCAGGATTTTGTATAGCTATACCAGGCTTAACCAGAGTAAAGGTTGCATCGATATGCATTGGCCTAGGATCATCAAATGACAATCGGTGAACTTTGATACCACGGGGTGCTAAATGTCTCCTTACCCAATCAATTCCTGACAAATTAGTAACCTTCATTGAAGAGGTAAATAGTTAGAACAGGATTTTTATACTGAGAAATATAGCAACTTATAAAACATTTCTTGAAATTATTTGTGACTGGATGATTGATTTTAAGGTACTTATCATCACTAATTGATATCTGAATGAGAATAAGGAAATCTAGAGAATTCTAAATAATTGCGTCGTGGTTCAAGACTATTCAGTAGTGCCCACTCCAAACCTTTATGCGACGTGAAGTTTGACAGCTTAATGTCTCGGTGAAAACATCAACACTAATCTGCTGGGTTAGCTGTGAGTCCTTGGATCAAAATCCGCTTTTAGACTATCAAATTAGGACAGAGTAAATGAACACGGTTCCCTAGTTTTTGGTGGTTAACCAGGTAATACCAACTAGTTGTAAAAACTGTGTATAAATGAATGCTTATACTAAACAAGAGAAGACTCACCGAATTATTTTCCATGTTCATGGCTGTTTCATTCCTAGTATTGATAAAACGTTTCAGCTTATGGCTGTGAGACTGAAGTCTGAATCATGCTAATTTTGTAAACTTCCATAAAGGAATAATAACCAAGTATACTCTAACCATGAATTTACTAGATTCAGTGAAAGACTTCACGGCTAAGCTACTGACTCAGCGTAGGACTTATTATGACTTATTAAAGTACAGATATTGGTCACCAATGGGAAAGGGGTTTAGCTGTATTGTCCTTAGTGCTGATCGAAGTCAAAAGTCTTACGAGAGTTTGCTTAAATCATTTGGGCAGCAAAGTTTTGAATACTGTATAGTTTGAAGGATTCCAAACGAGTTTTTGTCAGTTATTAGTTCAACATTTCGGGCACAAACGATCGAAGGAAATAACCCGAGTCAGCACAAAAGCAGTGCAACAACCATCTCAAGCTATATTGCAAGAAAACCCTGAGGAAAATGTATTTGATAAGAGGTGGAGTTCCATATCCAAATATGGTATTTACAGATTAAAACTGAATCACGTTTTTTTATATATATTTATTTTGGAAAAACATTATGTTGACTGAAAGGGTTGACAAATAATAAAAGTATCAATGAAATGATCGGAGGAAATATGTAGAAAAACGTAATGAGTTTCGCAGCATATAAGATACGAGAATAAGTGTGGTCAAAGGGGCGAATATATTGTGAAAACAAAGAGTAGGAAAATGGGTTTGCTACAAACAGACTTTTAGGACAAAGGGAGGTTAACGATTGATTCCAGCTGGATTTAGAGGTCAGAACATGTTTTTCTGACGACTCATGATTTACTAAAGTAGTGCGGTGTTTCAGCCTTTTATTTATTTATTACCATGAAAGCTGCATGTAAACTCATTAAATGTTCTATGAAAATAAGGTGCCAAATGACTGCAGTGTATTCATTTCTAGATTCTCTGGTGAACGTTCATCTAACTGGGCAGATACCCATCGGTCTTTTCTTCCATAGTACTTATGAATTGATGAATGCAGTTGTAAATGATGTGAGAAGAGCATTCATAGGTTTCTGACTGATCCCTAATCCCATTAGTACTGTTGTACAGGGAGATCAGATAGGTATCTAAAAGGCATAACCTTCAGTCTCGATTTTAGACTTTCTTGAGATTTTATGTCTTTTGACGACTAGGTAGTTGCAACCTGGTTTCGTTTAAACAATGCTACGTTGTATGAACTTTTTTTCTAAAATAAGCCCTTAACCTTGCATATTCAAAGTTAAAGAACGTTAATCAACTTGTTTTGAAGTGGAAACAGTTACGACATGCACTTCCTTGGCATTCTAGAAATTCATTCGATCTCACTCTGTTCTAGATCGTGATGAGTGTTAAATGTATGGAACATTCTCATTTGTTTATTCTTTAATTAGGTTATCAGGTCGTCGATTTGGCGTCAACTACCTCTTGAATACCTTTCTGAGACTGTGCTGATAAAGTTATGAGTTCTGACGACTTGCCGTATTTTTATCAAAACTTATTTAGAAAGTGTTTTAACCAGCTAATTTATTTTATATCCATCCATTGGGAAGAGTGAAGTAGCATGGATAACTGATTTGTAGTCAAATTTAATAATAAAGTCATACTGGTAACAAGCCATTTGAAATTTGTTTGTGACTCACTAAAATGAAAGAAGTCGATCATGATTTCGTTAAGCGTGGAGCTTATCAGCTTGGACTATTGTTCACTTTTAACAAGCATGCGCAACATCCCTCTAGCTTAGTTTAACAAAGCTGTTAGACGTTCAGCTTGTTGACTCCAATTACACGAAAGTGGCTTTTGAAAGATGACACACTTTAAATCATTAAAATTATTGTCAATTTCAACAACTCCATATGGATGAGACTCTCTTTCTATAAAATAAAGCATGTTTTGAGGACAAAATAAACATGCATATATTATGACTTCAGTTTCATCACAATACAGTGTTTTCTTATTTATCCACCTTCCTTACAGATTGCACTGACAAATGCTTTTAATCATTTGTATCAATCTTTGAACTGTTTTAGTTTTCACCCTAGACAACTGTAGAATGTATTTCACGTCACTTCACCTCCTCTGAATTCATTTCATTCTAATAAACTTATCTTGTTTCCACTGTACATAGCCCTGATTATATATATATATATATATATATATATATATATATATATATATATATATATATATATATATATATATATATATATATATATCAGTGTATAGCACATAAGTGAGCTCTTTGGAACAGAGCTTTTGTCTTATTCTTTTTCGGAGATAAAATGTCACATGGTACTAGAAATGCTAATCGTTTCTGGACTTGCATTGATGAGGAAAAAGAAAATCAAAATTGGGAATAAACTCACTTGACTTCTTTGTACAAATATATCACGTCCAGCACGTATAAAGTCTGCAGCATCAAAGCATGGCTCATTCTCTGTAGTTACTTTTCTATATCCTGGACTACCTTCATCGCTAACATCAGAACCAAGAGGAGTGTCCTATAAATAAGTAAATAATTATTAAAACGAACTAATAATGCTGTATTACTTCGAAAGGAGATACTTGAACACAGTGTGAGTTAAATACAGATAACGACCAGCCCATGAGTGTTTCTGTAGACAGATAATTCATGGATAAATCAAACTGATACATTCCTGCTTGACTTTGGATGCTTCATCAAATTGTGCTCCGAATATTATGAAAGTAACAAAATAATTTCAACAAAGTGCAACCGGGATATTAAGGTAAACCGAATGAACAAATTTTTAGAATTAGAAGAAACTGTGACCCTACAATAACGTCTAAAAAATTGAAAGAGGCAAACAGAATGTTGGTTGCCAAGTCGTCCAAATTTCATTTTGATTTACATTTTATAACGTATGCAACTAATAGTTCATTGTGATACACTCTATGATGTTTTAAATAGTATTATCCAAAAATTATATAAATTTGGTTTTTGAAAAGTGACATTTAGGGTGGGATGCTATCAGTTTATTAGCAGGAAGTCTATGATATACATTTTGAGATTTTGTGCTCATCATTAGGTTGTATACCCTGAAAAAACGTCGATCAAGAAAACACATTATAGTTTTGCTTATGCCATTTAGTGATGAGTGTTCATAATGGTTCTAAGCTTATCGGAGTGGAAATATGTTACTCAGTATCATTAGTTGACTGATATTCAGAATCTAAGTTGCTAGTGATGAAGCTAGCTAGTTGATCACAGAAATTCAAACAGTGACTCTTGAATTTAGCTGTTCTCAGCCTAAAATAATAATTATTATATGTGTAGCACTAATGTGCATGAGAATAAGATGGAAAATATTCTGAGTATTTTTTTCCACCTGATTTTTGTCTGATATAAAAGTGATCTCCTTGTTACCCTAAAAATGTTAATCTGTCCATATGAAGTCACATTATTTGTTGTCCATAAGAAAATAACATGATCGAATAAATATTTCGCAGTCAGTGATCCAAACACAACTGAATGACCGACAGTCAATGCCTATTCATGATATAACTTATACGACTGACTCTGTTTTATTTAAAAAAAATCATAAACAGATAATAACCATGGACTCGAAAGGATAGAGAATTTAGCATTTTGTTTCCTCATGGTAATTGTTGCATTTTATCCAATCTTTACCAGAAAAGTTACTTCGTTAGTCATGAGGTTCCGTATCAAGAACATTCGGTGTATCTTTTTGTAACAAAGTACATAAAATTTACTAAATTCTTTCTCTTTTTAGGCTATTAGATACAAATCTATTTCTGTGAGAAGCATAATTTCTTTTATCTAATCAAATTAAAACTGTTTGAGAAAGCATGAGGACCAATATAACAAATTCAAATTTCGATTGTCTGGTCCGTGTTAATTTTTCTGTTTTGGAAAACAGGGATCTGTTGGGCGTGGTTATCTGTCTTATTATGAGATGACAATTTGTTAAAATTATCACTAAAAAAATTATGAGTTAGATGAATAGTTGAATATCGTGACTGAATGACATTTTTTGACTCCTAATAAGCTGGATTGTTATTCAAAGATTTTAAACTTATGCATAGACAACGAAATTGAAGGGGTTTCTGGAATAACTTTAAAGGTCATCCTTGCAGCAACTAGAATTACCAATCAAATTAATCTATTTTATAAAAATCTGCCTTTCCAGCCGAAATGAAGAAACCTTATTGGTTATTTAAACCGTTCCTAAGGTTGCCTTTTAAGTTGCCTGTTTTTGAGCTGACGTTTTCACAGGCTCAGCTTTAAGTCCCGCTTATTTCCATCTTCAGTGCTAATTATGAATCACTACATTAAGTGACCGTTTCAAAGGTATTTGCATAGGTCTTTTCTACTTTGGTGAATGAATTATTTTAAAGACCACTGACTTGACCAGATGAACATGTAAACTGAACTCTCCTCTCCTGAGATTCGGATGTCTGTTAACGTTTTGCAGTATTACAGGCAAAAAAGTAGTTTATAAAAAATAAAGTCCATAAAGAGAATAATTCCAGAATGCTTCAAAATAAAGCTATTTTTCCAGCCTCTATAATCGATTACGATTAGTTGAATTTCTATTAAGTATCCGGAAGCATTTTTATGATAAAAATATTGTTTTCTTAATGTGCCAAAAAAGGCTGAAACCTCATAGTGAAACTGTCAACTCACTTTGATCAGTTGAGAAAAGTTTGTTGGCTTTGGTGCCACAGTCCATTTGGCTCCTTGTCTCCAATAATTCAATACAAGCGGTCTATAGGCCAAAAATTCAAAATATCTTGACCTCCATGTCATTGTAGCTTCAATAATTTCATCTCCAACAATCAGCAGAAGATCTCTTGGCATTGCAGAGTAGAAACCTAGATAAATTTACTTATTTGTTTTCAATACGTTTACATTCCTGTTAGATATGATGAATTTCAAAGTTAATAGAGCTTATCTAATCTCTCATCGATGCTATGATTTGGGTATTCGTATGGAGAATTAGACACTGTCAAGAAAAAACTTTATTTAGTGTTTTGAACGTATATTTTTTATATATTTTCTAGAAATATTTTATTTGAAGGCAAACTACTATAAATTAGATTTACTTTCACTGCCTTCTGATAATAAACATCATTCAAAACATTGTTCAAAATTATGCCAGATCACATCGTGATGATTAAAATGCAGCCATGCGAAAGATAGATTGGGAAAATAGACTAAATAATGAATTTTGTATGTGTTATGCGTCGGTTGTAGTACGTTTAGCTCAGTTATTTGTGTTAATTGAAAGCATTAAAGCGTGATTTGTTCAAAATTATATACCTGTTGAAGCAAGATATTTGATTTTGTAGAGACAAAATTCTCTATGAGCATTTAAGGAAAGAAATTTGGTAGGACTCTGAGCCAGCACTTAACATCTATTTTAAAATAAAACAAACCTTATATTCATAACAACTATGGTCTAGATGTTTATAAACGTAGAACAAACCTTTTGAATAATAGTTAATTAAGTAGTTTGTTAATATGTTTTGTCTTCAGGGTTCAGGAATGTATTTTATTGTATTGAACATTCAGAATTCGGTGAATAAAATGTCCAAACCAGACCTTAATGTGGCACCAGTTACCCATTTCTCATTAGTGCCTCTAATACTGTTATTATTATCGCTATTCAGATGCGGTAATTTTTTATTTTAGAAACATTGTAGGGGGAGCGTATTTTTTGATTTGTCGCCCGCTGAAAGTCCCATAATTTATCATACATGTTTTTCGAAATAAAGCGATTATTATTATTACTATTAATTTGTAGGCCACGTAAAATGAGAAGAGAACAAAATTCAATTAATTAATTTAATTGTCTAGTGAGAACCAGGAGAAGAAACACATCCTACTGACTGATATTCGTACCTAAGATGTGTTTGTAAAATAAGGGTAAATAATGCTTATTAAAGAAATTTAATGCACGCAACCAACCGACATAACCAAATGCATATATATGACTCATTACTGAAGTCAACCATATGATGTTTGATCACTACATCATACACTGAGTTCTGTTCCTCAAACAATGCTGCCTGGTTAGTTTCCAAATGATTTGTGCTTACAAATGCGATTAAGCATTAAACCCAGACTCAGACATTCCATTTTGTCTCCCTCAACTATTTAGTGCACTGATATTTCACTAAGTCACAACACAGTTAATGTACTCAGTTGAACTCAATCTGTTCTGAGGACTAAGAAAATCATCATAAATATACTGATAAAACTTAGGCACGGTGGAAGACCACATTTCTTTTCGGTTGGTTTATTAAGCATATCACACAGTGAAACAACATGATTTACTGAATTTCGTTTTGGTTACAGTTTGTTACCCATAGTTATCTCAAGGAGACCAAGTCTAAAATCAATCCATAAGGCCAATGGTGCATAAAACTAACTACGTAGCATTCAGATAACAGTAAACCTTCTTCAATACCTCATCTTAAAATAAAAGGGAAACATTTATGCATTTACAATGATTTATTGTTCGCATCTTTATCATATGTTATTCAAGTTCATCTTCAACTAGAATACAACATTGAGAAGTCAAAACTCAGGATACTGTATATTACTAGCAATCAGGAAGAGTATCTGAGCTTTTAAAGTATTTAAGAGTCGTGTTTTTCTGTAGACCAAAGTGAGACTTTATCTCAAACTGTTAACGACAAAAGTAAGTTATCACACCGCAGACATCAATCATTATGTTACTTTCATTTAACTCTGAACTTCAATATAATAGAAAGTATGCGTTCTTTCCTTTTACGCTTAAAAGAGAAGTAAAGGTCTGGCAAAAAAGTCCCGTACGTCATATCGTTAAAATATGAAGAGATCAGAATGAGGATTTTAATAAGAAAATGAAGAAATCTTCCATTGAAGAGACTTAACATGTCCCAGATGATTCCTTAATCCTGACACTGAACTCAAACATCAGTCTTTACTTGTATATGTAGTAACATAAGCTGGTGTGGAGTGAAATAAACGGCTACGTTTTTCAAAATGAATTCAGCAAAATAGTAGTTGACAGAAGGTATTTACTTAATGACAACTACGCTAATGAGATGAACTGATTACAACCAATATCATAGAATTTCACCCCATAACTTTTCTGAACTGAACTTAAATTATTATTTATTATTATTTGTCCCTTGGGTTCCTAGTGGAACATACGGTCTCGGTAGCACGTCTCCAATGTGCTCTGCTCTCTGAAACCTTTCGAACCTCGCTTCGCGACTGCCCACAAGCTCTGATTTCTTCCTCACATGATCTACTCCATGTCACTCTCAGCTCAGACGCGAAACTCGTCGTTTCCCACTTGGGTTCCACTCGAGGGCTTGGCCTGGCGCGTTATGTCGACAGTTGGCCTTCTCAGTGTTTTTCCAGTCCATCACCACTTCCTTCTGCATATTTGTTGGGTGATAGCTTCTTGGTTGGTTCGTTCCCAGAGCTCCTTGTTGCTTATTCTCTCTGGCCATCTGATCTTCAGTAGCGAGCGTAAGCAGTTGTTGATGAATGTCTGTAGTTTATTGGAAATCCCTTTCGTGACGCGCCAAGTCTCTGAACCATACAGGAGCACTGACTTGACGTTGGTGTTGGAAATCCGTATCTTGTTCCGCATGCTGAGTGCAGAAGATCTCCACACTGGTTTCAGGTTAATGAAGGCCTGTCTTGCTTTTCCGATCCCGGCTTTGACGTGTTCGTCTGTGCCGCCGCCTGTAGTTGAAACAGTGCTGTCTAGATAGGTGAAAAAGGCTACTTCCTTTAGGTTTCTCCTGTTGATGGTGATTGGAGCTTATTGTTGTTGGTGGTGGTGTTGGTTGGGTATGTTCATCATCTCTGTCTTCTCTACGTTCACCAGAAGGAAGTCCCGTCCTGGCTGTCTCGCCTCTTCTTTCAACTTGTTAGTTTTTGCCTGTAAGTCTTCTAGTTTGTGTAACAGTAGACATAAGTCATCGTCGAAATCCAAATCTTCTAGGATATTTCCCTCAGTCCAGCGTATCCCCCTCTTCTCACTCCTCACTGTTTGCTGCATGATCCAGTCAACTACAATCAGGAATATCATGGGTGATAGTAGACAGTCTTGTTTTGCTGCTGTCTTCACTTCAAAGGCATCACTGAGCTTTCCATTGTGAATCACTTTGCATGTAGCATCATATAACATAGCATATAGTTGTTGAATGAGGTTGATGGGAGTTTGTTGCACTAAACCTGTAGTGTTGAAGCAGCTGCCTGCCAAATTAGTGGTCGGTCGACGCTGTCGAAGGCCTTTTCAAAGTCGATGAAGTTGAGGTACAGGTACAGTTGACTGGCATTCTACACTTTGTTCTATGATGATGTGTAGCGTCCTAATTTGGTCTGCACATGATTTATATTTCCTGAATCCAGCCTGTTCTGATCGTAGTTTTGGATCCAGCGCATCCTTTAGATGAACTCTAAATTGTGCTTCTCATTGTATACAGGAAGCTTTGAAACCAGTGCTATTAATTCAGTTTGTTGAAGAGGACGACTGTTAAAACACAACTAATTTAGTATTATAATTTGTGCTTGACTTGAATAGTTTTCATACTACTGATATTAGGGTAACTGAGTAGTGCATTAAATGTTTATAAATATAATTTTCATTTATTTAAAATGACAGAATTTGATGTAATAAACTAACCTTGTGTCTCAAAATCAAGAAGCTTATATGACTTTCTGTGATCTACTGGGTCAGGTCGTACAACTTTAATCCCTTCGAGTTCAAGTACTTTAACCAATTCTTCAACTTGTTTGCACAGTAATTGCCAGTGTTCTTTCGGTATAACATCAGCCCAATATTTACCACCATTTTTAAGGTAGAAGTCATGTTTATTACTTGGAGCACAAGGCTGTAAAATGTATCGTAGAACACGAAAAAATCATTGGAATTCTCTTTCTTTTTGTAATGTATGAAATTTTCGATGAAACATAAATTTCAGAAATTTGAAGCTAAGATGATCATTGATAATTTATCCACAGAAAATTAGTGTGGTTGGATGAATGGGAAAACGATGTAGACACTTCTTGATTCATACAGCTCAAGCAATATATGATATTGTTAAGATGTAAGTCGTTTTTTACACTTTTATTTATTCGGATTTTTTAATTGTCCTTCTCGATATTCTAATAAATGTGTTTTGCATCATTAGTGGTAAACAGGGCAACATCCAAAGGAGGAAGTTGCATGTAGACTGAAATCATTGCAACTGCTTGCATGCTAACACAAACAGATGAAGTGCTATGATAAGATATATGTTAATAATTTAATACGAAATTATTTTTTGAAATGTTTGTTGCTAATTGTTAACATACTTTGTATTTTTATTTCAGGAAGATAAATGGTCAACGGTTGAAGAACAGAGATGTGGAATGACTATTACAGACTTTGTAATATTTATTTACGGTTAAGTACTAAAATAAATAATTGCCTCCATGCTTTCGCTCATCTTAAAGACAGTCTTACAAGAGAATTTCTAGCTTACGTGAATAAATACATAGAATGAGAACACTGATGTCAACTAGTGGTACTCGTGATTTCAGGTAGTAACCTTCTATGCGAAAAGAATCACGTGTGAATCCAAAGGTTGGATACTTTTATTAAATCCCCAGAGAATAAAGTAAGAATGAAAGTACACAAGCAGAGGTTTATATTATGAAGTAAAGAATGAGAATATTATCTGCTACAATATACAAGTATATATTAGATATCTTAGACAAAAAACCCATCTACATGTTTCATTTAATGCACTGATGATAAACTGAAGTCTTCACGACCACGTCAGTTCATTCACTTGTTGAAGTTATCTCATAGTTTGATTCCGAAATCATGAAATGAAGACAAAATGATTCGAACATTAGAATGCATTGTTCTTCCGCAGATCAGCTGTTCATGATGAATGTCACCTCCTTGATTTTGTTTCATACTATAGGTTTGAACACATACCACACATTCTCCATGCCACAGGCTCTTTCCTGTCCACAGAAACAGAACTTAATGCAGTTTCCTAAACCCATATCGTAGGTTACAAACAAGTGAAACAAAAAGTCTTTCGAGTGAGATTATTAATTTCGATAGTGGGATCAGTACATATGACGTTTTGAAAAGCATAATGCAAACCAGTTTACTGATGTACGCTGGAATACACTAGGTCTATCTGATTGGAGATGTATCAGACATAGCTTGGTCTGTTAATTCTCTTCTGACCAAATTTGCATATGTTGCGACCAGTTTATATTTCAGATTGGATTTCTTTAGAACTATGTGACTAAGTGCGGCAAGATAAATTGTACATGTCTCCTGAAAACAAAAGTATATGTTGTTCGTGGTCTAAGGATCACTACAGTACTTAGTAGTTACCTTATTCATATCAGTTAATGCCAATTTTCACTCTTTCCAGCCTTCAAATTCTTCGTACATCATAAAATTCACGGAAACAGCGGTCAGACAACTTCTCGGCTCCAGTACATTCAAATAAATATGAATTTACGCTATTACAGCTTTTTTCAAAATGACTCCAAAAAGGAATGCAGATGTTTCTCCACTAATAGCCTACTAGACAAGTGGCCTATAACAAGTGCGTTAGTACCTTACTTACTCTGTAAGACCTCTATCCGGAATTTCCCAGACGTACTGAGCTTATCAAGACATACTGATTTAGTTTTTCTAAGCAGCAGTCACGGTTCAAAACCAAGGAAGCTCATTAAGATATAACTTTACCTTAGCGGACAGAATATCCATAAAATGTACGACAGAATCAATCCTTTTATGGCTATAAGTAGGTTCAACAAAGTTTCAGGTACTGTCGAATACGTAACTTAATGATGCGTTTGTATCAAGAACGTAACAAATCAGCAACGATGATACCTTTTAAAGTGTACTGATTTATTTAAAATTGGTTTGCACGAGAAAACAAGCTGTTTGAATGAATTTCTCTCTTCGTTGGTCAAATATTAATCGAATAAACAAAGGTAAATTTGAGTAAACTAAAGTTTTACCCCGGAAACAGTTGCTTATTAACATCTACTTTTACGCTGAAGTGGTGTGAACCAATAACCGAGCAAAAATAGTTCCTAAAATAATTTTTGATTAAATTATCTGGGGAATATAGGAAATTCGGAAAGTCCTAGTTCAATATTCGGTATACATCGTCTTCAAAAACACTTCAGGAAAATTCACTATGGTGATGTATCAATACTTAAGAGCACACAAACTCTCCCACCAGCACATTCATCGCTAACTTTTCGATATTTCTATAGGTACATGTAAGGTTGGTAAGGTATTCCTGGGTAGAAGTCAGCACCTAGTGCCCTATAGTTAAATATTTTCAAAGATTCTATTTGGAACTTATAAAAAATTGTGAATCTAATTCCAAAGTATAGAATCACAAAAGTTAATTTCTCGTTGAAAAAAAGTTGAAAATTACTTTCACTTCAGGGAGTAGGTGAGGTACTGTAGCATATTCTGGTGTACCAATAATCACTTCTTCTAAAGGATCCCATTCGTTCCATGAATTCACTGGAGACTGTTTGTTTTGTTTACTTTTTGCTTCAGTAGAGTAGAAATAGGAGGTAGTTTTGGTTCGTAGCGACGAAAAACTGCTTATATATCTTATCTGTGGGTAAAAAAGAAAATGAATTGTGAAACAGCGCGAAATCTGGATAAAATGCCATCTGTTATTAGCTCCTAACAATTTTTGATGCATAAGTAGTACTTTTTGGTTGAAGGCAAATAAATGAAGTTTTGTTTTACATCCTTGTATATTTCTAGAGAGTCTCAATGAATATATAGAATACAACCAGAAGGATTTAGCTGTGAATTAGAATTGTCACCTAGCCTCTTTATTACCGCTCATTCAATGGCCAATTGGACTGAGTTTACATGAAGCAAAATAGTACTATCTCCGTTAATAATTGATAAGTAAGGATACATGGAAGCTAAATGCAGTAGGTAGAACCTAATATTGGTTATGATAGTATGAGCTTTCGCAGAAATCCTGGATACATGAATTTTCTCTTATTTTAAAAACGATGGATGATGACAGTATGTATGCAAAGTACAGATAGCAGACTGACAGACTCAAGCGTGAAACACAATAGTCTGTAATTAGCATTAACTTTTATTTTACTTTAGTAGATTACCTTCACAAGGGAATGTGTAGTTCAGTTCAAAATCTAGTCAAATGTTGACTCTGGAAATGATTTTTAGAGATAAGTATGGATTAGAATGAGACAATAGTATTACTAAGTTCAAACGCTGATTATGTTCGTTTCAGCATTAGATTGTAAAAACCATAAACCAACCTCTAAAATAATAAGGTATGGTATTATGGATACGAATCTAGTTAACTGTGATATGGATAATTTTTAATTCTTTGAGAAATGATGCATAAGCCACCTGTAAAAATAGTTAGTCTGCTTAGTTTTATTTATAATGAAAGTAATCTCCTTAAATGATTGTTTAAACATTGATTTCACCACCATTTTATCACTTGATGATATATATATACAAGGTAATAAGGTCTATTGAGTTCGAAGTATTTCATTCTGCCATGTATCTTCAACTCCATCCTTCAGATATTGTCATGAATAACCATTCCTACACTAAGCTATGATGAAGAGTAACAAAGTTTCATACATTTTCGCCAATGTCTTCAATCAGTAAAATAATTCAATTCTTACTTTAACCTTAACAACTGTTTATTTCGAAAGACCGGAAGTATGAATTCTTCCATAATTTAACACTTTCTGAATTAGATTGACTTTTTTCTTTTCTTAACTCCATGGTAAAAAGTTCAAGAAATTAACATACATTACGAAAAGAAGCTCCATAAAAAGAGAGGTCAGTTAAGTTAGCAAACGCCAATGATATGTTTCATTCAAGGTATATTGACGAGAGATTCAATTCATGAAAATATTCCACTTTGTGAATATTTACACAGAAAAAACACCAAACAGTGTAGGATACATGAAATTCATTTCGAGTGATCTAACTTTTCCATATATACATTAAATTTAAAAATATCAGTGTCTAGTGTAAGTCGTTTGATACATTTAAACAGCAAAATCAACACCAAATGCATCTTTCACATCCAAACATCAACATATATATATATATATATATATATATATATATATATATATATGCAAATAGGGAGGAATGACAAAGTTTAAGACCTAGTCAACTAATAGACAAAGAAGTAGTAGATTGCTTCTTTATAGAGAACCATTATAAATCCATCGACTGAAATCAAACTCATGTGCACAAAAGGAGTTTGTGGCTGATGTTGTATTGCTCTGGTGAAGTTTTATTTTCCTAAGGCTTTATTTGCTTTTTCATTCTTTCAACTTGTTGTCTCATATATTATGTTAGTCAATGATGATTACTACCTCAGTATACATTGCAGTATAGTGCTCATTAGTGATATGTTTTCAGATGGATATCCCAAAGTTCTTATGAGAAGCTGTGACCTGTGGGGTCAACCAGTCGGGAGTGAATTGGATTTCAGCTGAAGACCTTGAGTGGTAGTCACGCCATATCAGGAAATGACAGAAGTGAAAAACTTTGAACCATTGAGCTCCGACACAGTTAACACATTTGCCACAAAAATTGAACGTCCTAGATTCGATACCCGGCGAAGTCATGGATGTGTACTGCTGAGGAGTCTCATGCTAGAACAAAACAGCCGTGCAGTGCTCCCAGCCTTTTGATGGTTCTTTAACTGAAGTCAGTCTGCGATGAATACTACCTCAAATGGTTTATTATTCTCGAATATTATTCATATTTCTATCATTTTACTTGATAGGTGTATTTGTTTATTAGTTTGTCAAATTTGTCATTCATGACTGTTCCCATATTTATACTCATGTCTAGATGTGGAAGATGTATTCGGTGTTGACTTAACTACTGAAATGTATCAAATGACTTACACTGGACACTGACGAGTGACTCTTAAGACCAACCTTACAACAACTGAGATAACCAATTAGACTTTTTGATTTTATGAAAATCTGTACTTCCAACTAAAATCAATAAATTTAATTTCAGCCATTTCTAGGGTGGCCTCATCAGTGGTGGCTTACTGTATACAGTTTTCAAATTTACTGCGCATATGAAAGAGTTACAGTACCTGAAATGAATTCGACTACCCCACAGTGAGTTTTGTTCATGTTATGTAGAGATATTATTTATAAAAATGTTCAATAAGGAGACAGGTCAATCTGGAATTTTAAAATTACACACCACAGTAATAAGTTTAGTATGAAGTAAGAGGAGTAACAGATAAACGTTTTCTACTTATGCATGAAAGGTAATGAAGGCCGTGCAACAGAGGAAGGAATTCACTGCAAAACGTCTCTCAGCGATCAATGTTAGGACTAAGAGAGGTTTTCTCTGGTTAACCAGGATGGAAGTTTATTGGGAAAGGTTTATCAGAGGGGAGATGACTTGTGCCTGTTATCGTGAGAAACAGCTGATGCATCGAAAGTTCACTGTCTAGGATCCAGCTGGCTGTATCACAGTATCAAAAACCTGTTCAGCTACACAGTCCAGATAAGATGGACTTTCAAATCTTGTCAACTGTGACCTCATTCATTTATTCTCTTGTCCATTAAGGGTGCAAGTACGTAAGAAGAATGCAAAAGAGGTTGTCGACTGGAAGTGTTGAGCACGTTTCTTAGAGATTCCCCCTGAGAGGTTCATTTTCACTTAGTAATGCACTAACTCGTGACTTGTCTGATACCGCATATAAGGTTGATACAGTGGGTACCTTTGTAACAATTAACACATAAAAGACTTCATACTCGCCTCAAGTTGTTGAAGCCGTCATTATCGGACGAGTTTCATCAAGTTGTGTGTTCACAGGAAGATGGCTAGTAATTTATTACTGCGTTGATGATGAGTGACATTTCACCCTCACTTTTAATTTGTATTTACGCTCTTCCATATTCAAACTGACTATTGTTTCGTTCTCATTGAATTCGATATTTATTACGATAATTTGTCTCACCCATTTATCATTCTGTTTAGATAAATTTTATGCATCTTTGAGTGACCTTTTATACTTGTTTTTGATCTTATCCCACTCATTCCTGCACATTCCTTCCGTTGTCTTAAATAGCATGTCTGTACCCAGTGAAATAGTATCACCTACTGGATAACGTTCAGGACATAATTTATTGTTCATAACAATTACAATCTACCACAGTGCCCATTTTACTCTTACATTAACATGTGTACGGTTCTTCTGAATTCGTTACTTAAACACCTTTTGTTTCCTGAATTGTAATGCTTTTCTCAATTGAAAATAATAGGTGAAATCTTGTGGTACTTCATATTTTTTATTAGTATTAGTCCCTTGGGTTCCTAGTGGAACATAGGCTTCAGTAGCACGTCTCCAGTGACCTCTGTTCTCTGAGATCTTTTGAACCTGGTTCCACGACAGCCCAGAAGCTCTCATTTCCTCCTCGCACGATCTCCTCCATGTCACCCTCGGACGTCCAACTCGTTGTTTCCCATGGGGATTCCACTCGAGGGCCTGGCCTGACGCGTGATGTCCCCAGTCGGCCTTCTCAATGCATGTCCAATCCATCTCCATTTCTTCCTGCATATTTGTTGGGTGATAGCTTCTTGGTTGGTTCGTTCCCAGAGCTCCGGTACTTCATATACTATATGTTAAAATTTATTTTAGTGATTATTTACTTATTCAGATTGTTTGCGACCGGAGAAATTCGCCCCAAGTAAAATGACTTCGTCTTATTATACAAATATTCTTATCTCATTACCTAATCAAAATAAATAGAAGCCTTAATGATTACTCTGAGTTTCTTTACCTAATCAGTAAGCCTTAAATAAAGCCAGAATGATAGTTAATTCTAGCGTATACTTAGAGATGATTAAACAGGGCAGGCTCAGACATTTCCTCTTCTATGAACTCTTGAGTTAACTTTTAAAATGATATTATCAGCCTAATAACAGGTTGAAAAGTTAATTTTTGGACAGACAGAAAAAAACCTGTGACAATAATTGCTTAGGGAAGAATAGTTTAGGCGGAGAGCAGCCATTATTATTTTAAATGCTCATTATTTTTCAAAATATTTTATAACTTATTGGAACAAAAGTCTACAACGGAGAAACATCAGTTTTTCTCTGGAGATAAGCAATATTTTATATTTGGAAATATCTGTTCTACTGATTTATCATTTTAAGTTCGCAAAGTCATTTTCTGATACACATAGTCAAAGTTACGTGGTCTTAGTATTAAAACCTAAAACGTATTAATAAAATATTTTTTTCAATAGATGAAATAGTGAATCACTTTGTTAAATATAAACATTTTATTGTCGAGATAACATATAAACTCACGTATCAATAACTTAATCATTAGGATTTATGTGTACAGACGATTAGTTGAAAATGCATGAAACCAAGGAATAGATATATATTTCCTAGAAAAAAGACTGATTGAGCGAAGAAATATATTCCTTTTCCAGTTAGATCTTTGTCTTGGGCTCTTCACTAATATATGGGTTTGCAATTCAATCAAAAAACGATATAGCGGTGGGGGTTGGTGACCAGTGGGCGTACAAGGAGGCAGCTCCATCGTCGAATTTCTGA